GAAACCCGGATTCTAGCTTTACAGAAACATTTGTGATTAATGCACTAACGGCACATTTGGCTTCTAGTAAGTAATATTGATGCTGTTTACGTGATAAGACAAATTAACTCACATAAAACGAAGACAAATATGAGTATCTGGTGCTAAAACTTTGTCATTGAAGTAGACGGTAACAGATCAAATTTTTTTATCAGAAGGAAAAGCATACAGTCTTTATAGGCCAAAATAGTTACAACATATGCATTAAAAATGATAAAGAAAAACTTCGGTCTCCAGTAATGGTATGACCATAAATTATTTTGCACCAAAAAAAAACGTGTGCCTAATTTAATAAAAGAAATAATATATCAATTGTTGTAACGGTTCTTATTGTTGGTCGGTTTTGATTATTCGTTAAAAAATACAAAATCCAGTTCGATTAGTGATTACAAAAGCGTTTTATTTCTTGAACTTCAATTTGTAAACCAAAACTTGGAATTGAATTGTAATTCAGCAACCATAAGTGTACAGTACTTGTAACGATTATTTAAAAAAACAATGATTACACTGTTAGTCTCTTGGTGGAATAGCTTTAATCTATATACTTACAACACTAAAATCCGGGGTTTGATTCTCCACCATGAACAAAATGCAGAAAGCCCATTATGTAACACTAAGCTAAAATAAACATATCCCAAAACACCAACTACGCTTTTAATTTTTGTATTTTGTGACACTGTATTTCCGTTTTTAGAAACCCATTACTACGATTATAACTTAAAATAGCGTTGAACGTTACTTTTTTCACTCATCATATTACCTACTACCTGAAATATTTCAAAAGTATCCTTTCAAGTCAAATATCTCATTTCCCGTATTTTAGAACGTTAACTTACTTTTAACTTAAACTCTGAGCTATTGTGCCTAAAAATGTTAATAACTAAATAAATTCTATCTTCAAAATAAAACGACAAAAATTTTATATTTACATCGATGAAGGACGGAAAGGCAATGTATGCTTTCCATCCCTTTAGTTAAAAAATAAAATTTTCTAAATTGTGTTCTTCTTCAGTGGTGCTCAAATGAATATTTAATTTTTAGTTTACTTTAGGGGCGAACTAGGTTAAATGAAAATTAAGAGACCTAATTGCCTGAATCTCTTACAAGAATAACAGCATTACTTATTAGCGAACTGATTTATTCTTCTCATCGAAACAGATAACAGCAGTTGTAAGTAGAGTTAGCCTTGAACTTTACTGCTCATTGGCCAACTGATCTAACAGGCATTAATCGGGATCATGATCTTTGTCCAAGAGCTACCCTTTATTTCTTTTGTCTATCTTTGTTATAATTTATTCTCATTATCTGCATGGTTGATTCATTTATTTTATTTAAAACATTAAAGACTCTATGTAATGTTTCTGGCACATGTTTGCTACCACACACGAATGTTTGCTTACATGTGTCCATTGATATATATGTATGCTACCATTATACTTTTGTCAACCATTCTAGTAGTTTACGCAGCTTGTCTCCAGCCATTTGTGTCGTCAACTTTGGTAACATACGACATACGTTACCTGCATAAACCAAACTTCGTAGCAATGTTAATGCCATCTAGGGGCCGTCAAACGCAACTCGAGTTTATTTCAGACTTCACCAAATACACGTAAATAATCACTGGTAAAATTCAGAAAAAGCGATTCCTTTTGAACGATAGATCTTATTTATCAAAATTAAAATTCGTGCTGTAACAACTGTACTCCAACACATTCAGAGAAGGTTGGTTTCCTTATTGATTAGATCCATAAAGATTGATGAAAAATCCAATGAACCCCAGGTAATT